CTGAGGGTATGTTTTCAGTTTGGCATGTTGCAAAGTGCATCCCTTGGAAATAGAGTGATCACATGTCCTGGTTTGCCAAAGATGGTCCCAGTTTACTTGTTGTCCTGGGATAATGACTAATAGTGTCCCATTTCATTCTCAATAACGTTTCAGTTTGAACAATTAGTTAAATGGTCACCTAACCCAGAAAATCACTTCTGGGGATGGTAATAGCTGTGTCATCCTTCTCAGAACTGTAACATCTCAATTTATGTTGTAAACCTTGAAGAGTGAAATACAGTATAACTGTAGTCTATCAATATAGTGTAACTACTATTGTGTTATATACAATTTGGGAAATTTTGTGTTAAAGTTAAACAAGTTTGGTGGTGGTTGTTAGAACGTATGGCTTCCCAGAGATTTAATATAGTAGCACGTCATGAATTTCCAACAGGGTCATACACTGGGCAGTTTTTCCAAACTTATTTAAACACAAAACCTTCATTCATGAAATGTCCAAAGAGGTCAGTATCCCTCAAAATGCTCCCACATTTTCCTTCAACAAGTACGACTGCCTAGTATGTGCTGGAATTGTCCTAGGTCCTCGAGAGTCAGCCGTGAACAAGGCAAGGTCCTCGTCCTCGTGGGGCTTGCATTCTAGTGGGGGAGACAGGCAATAAACCTGTAAACAATATCATAATGTGGAAAACAATGATCTATCCCCCAAGTGACTGACAGTCAAAATAAAAACCACAACATCCACAAATCCTGAGGAATATTCATGAAGCAACCTGTCTTCAGACACAAGTTGGCAATGATTTGTGTCTGTCAAAAGCCATCAATGGGCACCATGTTTTCTAAGTAGTAGAAGTTCCTTTAACAAGTCTCGCCCCTTGAACGGAGTGCACTTTGTATGTCATTCTTGCTAGTATAAATGTGCCTTTGGGGGAGTTCATCTTCCTTTGGCTTTTGTTTGTGGACTGTGTTCACAATATGTACTTTTAATTTAATACTTTTTCCTGTCCTATCCAGACTGAGGTGTTATTTAAAATAGCATCACTTTCAAAAGAGATGTTTATAGTTGCCTAGTACCCAGGGAATAAATGAGAACAAATGGAGAGTTCTTACATTCTATGCCACACATCCCACCCCCTGGGGCTGGGACGAGGGACAGGGAGGTGCCTAAAAAAAAAAAAAAACACATGCACACACAAAAAAACCTCCTACCCTTTGATAGATTCTGTGCAGAAGAGAGACTCATATTTAAATGAATAAGCCAAGTTAAAACTTTCCCTCCTGGAACAAAGCAAAAGGAAAGCCTCTTTATGTTGCAGGGGCTATAGATGCCACGGGCTGAGCCTGTCCCAAAGCCTCCCTTCACTGCTCAAAAACTAAGCCATCTTGCTGCATTTAGCACTGCTCAGCAGACCACCCACCCAGACGCGGATACACAAACCACATGTGTGAGGAATGCTGTTCAGCTAGGAAATCAGTATCAGTATTTCAACCTTATTACTTGCACAGACGGCCCTTTTAGTGCCACTCATTTGTTTTATCTGTTCAATAGCTTTGATTATTTTCCTTTAATGGCCTGGATTTATCCTTTTCTACCCTTTTGAAACTTCAGAACTCTGCGGTGGGGGATGCATGTGGTGGAAGACACGATTACGAGGGGAAAATGAGCAAATAGCTTTGCCTTTACTCACCGTCCCCACTCTTCGGGGCCACCTATTCTGTGCAGATCACCCAGCCCCGAGTTTTTACAAAAGTGGACTCAAGGGGCCTTCGCATTCAGGTGGTAGATTATTTTTGTTGTTATTTGAGAGCTGTAGGGCCCAGTTACAATTACTGGAGTGTTTTTTAGTTTGTGCCATGTATTTCTCTCCCTAGCCCTAGGAACCACATTGGTTACCCTTCTTTAATGAAGGGGAAATTAAGACCAAGAGGCTAGGCTGACAACACAGGGCAAGCTAACCACCTCTGGAAAAGACTGAAAATGCCTCTCAAGAAGGGGACCACATAAACAGGAAGGTGTGGATACTATTACCTGGCAGAGACAGCAGAAGCATGGACATGTGCTTAGGATTTTCCATCTGGGTGGTAACCCAGACAAGGAAACCCCTAAGTACCCTTAGCTGCTCCACTAATCAGAACAAACAAGTCTATTAGTTTGGGACGCTATGTCCCTGAATCACCAAGCAGAGCGGTCTGGGCATCAGGCCTTGGTTGAGCTGCCATCTCTCTCCAGGACCCCTCGTGTATCCAACTGGGAACACACAATTCTGAGAGATGGTGGAACAAATGTATTGGGGAAAACTGGCTCAGCACACTTTCTGTGTGAGAGCATGTGGAGACAACATCCTGAGTTGTCTTCAGCAGGCCCAAGATGCCCATCTTGACTTTTGCCGTGCTGGAGAACAGGCAAGACCATTATTTTAAAATAAACAAATGAATATCTATGCTGAAACAAGGGAAGAGATTAGTCCAATTTAAGCATGGTCATTAGAAAGCTAATCTGTCAGCCAAGCCCATCTGGCACAGATGCTTCCACACCTAAAATCAGTTTCTAGTTGATAAGATACAAGGCAGTTCACTACAATCTCCTCAATGGCTTGTCAGGCTGAAGATAAGGCGAGTTTCTCAGATTTGATGTCTCTTTACTATTAAGTAGAGCACTATGGCCAAACTGAAAGTATTCTATTCTCTTTGTTGAAGTAGTTTCTCTCCTTCCTATCTAATCAAGGTAGCATTTCTTGCTGCTAAAGGAAATGCAGGGTCTTTGTCAGATTGACTCTGTCAAGCGATCCCACACTGCTTAGTTTATGAACAAAACCTTCCAGAGAAACAGGGGGAAAAGGAAAAAATATCAAGCACAAGTAACCCGGTTTATTCCAAGAACGTGCCCCACCACTTCCTGCCCAATCTCTGCAGAGCTTTAAAAACATAGTGGTTTTAGGATGCAGAAAATGGTGCTAGACACTGCGGACTCAAGAGAATGGGCGATGGACTGTGTCCTCAGCTGGTTCTGATCTCTCCGTTCATTCCTCCTTAGGACCAGCATCACTCTTGAGAAAGGCTAGGGGCTCATTTTTTTCTGTGTAAAGCAAAACCAAACTTTGGTTGAATGACTCTTAACAAATCAGTAAGACTATACATTGTAAAGAAAATGGAGCCACAATAGATTAGATACGAATTTAAGTAAAACACCTATTTCTGTTATCTGTACTTACATTTCAACATGGGTTTTAGAGATGGGAAATACATCTTACGAATGCCTTGTAGTTCACATAATAGCATCTATACACACATACACAGTGTATCTTTCAACATAACTACACATACACACTCCATTAAAAAAGATACTGACAGATTTATAAAACGTATTGGCCTTGCACTGTTAATCTCAAGAATACATTTTTACTTAATTTATTTTTGCACTGCATGGTAGCTCTGGCCACCGTTAAGGATCTGTCAGCATTTCCATCATAACTCTATTTTCAGAATAGTGGAGTACAAGTGCCAAAATACATATTTACAGTTTACAGACAGCGGTGGCTTTGTCTTCCTTTTAAATTGACTTCTTCAATGCATCTTTACAAGGATATTCAGGGAAGGCAGTGCCTACATGATAAAAAGCATTATATAAAACAAAAGAGGTCAAAAGATGTAGACGTCCAGTCCAGGACTACACTAAACCATGGGAATTAACTCAACATTCATTGCAGCTGTAGTTGTCTCTACATCTTAGTTACAGTTTGAGAGCAACAGTTCAAAACAAGATCATCATACGTGTGTGTGTGTGTGTGTGTGTGTGTGTATGTATGTGGTACATAGCATTAGTACACAAAATGCTAAAAGTGGAAAGTAATGAGGGCACAGCAAACTACTCCAGAGCTGATCACTTCCACAGTGAGAAAAATGAACACAAGTCACCAAACACAAACTTTGACCATTTCCAACACTGAACATCCAACTCCATTACCTACGTAGACTTCAAACACTTAAGAATAAAGTCTTTCTTAAATAAGTAAATTAACTTGTTAAATGTATGGGGCTTGAAATGGTACATGGGATTTCATGCAGGCCTCAACTGCATATCCCAATCTTTTTAAAGATTAGCTGGGTCTGTAAAAGGTATCAGCAGAAACATTTTTGGTGGAAGAAACTTTTTAGAGGAAGAAAACCAATTTTATTGGTTCTTCCTACAAAAAGGTGGATAATTATTCCGATTAGAGAGATTTGCTTAGCAATCTAAAAACGTTTAGGCCACTCTCAAGATTTTTTTCTTCTAGAGCTTGTCTCCTGTTCTTTTCATGTTCTTCCCTCCTTTGATACAATATGCAAGCATATACAGACATACTATTTGTCTACATAGAGAGAGAGGTTCATTATGGTGAAAATACAAAATAACTGCAAACGTTTTTGTTGCTAACATGACTGCTCTATGCTAAAATAGAAGCATCTCTTTTCATACACATCCTGCCACAAAATCAGAGGCAAAAGCTAATTTACAAGGGGGGAAAAATGTTCTGTACATACATTTTTTTCCCCCTCAAAGTACTGGGGAAAAATTTAAAGAAAGTTTATCATACTCTGGCTGGCTCAAACCATATTCATACTCACCCAATTAATTTTATTTGAAACATCTATTTATATATATACACCAAAGAAATTAAACCCTGCTATTTTTCTTTTGTGCTTAGAAAACCAAAGCCACTGTTAGGATACACATGTCAAAATATTTTTTAACAGGTTTCAAAGCTGAGCGTATATAAACGTGGCAGAACTGAGTGGGTTACTTTAAGAGAAGTATAACTATTTGAAATTAATTGAAAGGAGATTTATTATTTCTGCATTTAAAAATTAGATGAGAGCAAGAGTTGATTTTTTTCTAAAAAATTAACAATGTGACTCTTACTCTACGGGAATTTCATGAAAGATTCATTTTGCTGTCTCCATGAGTAGCAGACAGGTAAGTTTTCCCAAATTTTTTCAATTTACAAACTTACATTTTGACAATATTCTGAAGACATTTGCTTTATTGCCTAAATTTTAGGTCTCAAGTTTATCACTATAATAGCTTCCCTTCTTGTTATCATTTTTGTTTGGTCATTTCTTATGGTACCTAGTTTCTTGGTTAGTAACCTAAGGAACAAAAAATCTTTACATTGCCAAATCATAGTTTTTGCCACACAATTTAGTTACAAAAATAAAAATGGCCCCAACTACATATATACATGTCTAGTTAAACTACACAGATATTTTAGTTAAACCACATACATTTCTGGCTTAATTAGAATATGTGGATTAGCAGTTAGAAATTTTAAAAGATGTTTAAATTTTGCAAACAATTCCATATAAGCATTGCCCTCCCCTTTCACCTGTAAAGTTAAAAACAAAACAAAACACAACTAAAACCACACAATTCATCAGTCACCTAATGTCCAAAATGACTCAGAAAGTTCCTCCGTAATAACATTGATAGGTGGACTACACACCAAATGCTTCAAGGACAGTTCATGCCAATCATCAAGAATCATAACATTATTGAAAAAGTACACTTGTCCTCAGGGAGGACGCTTCACAGAAGTAATTTACAAGGAGCATGGCTGTATTGTAACTTTGTAAAGGAAAAAATAGTGTCTTTGGATAGAAAGAAACAATGTAAAAAAATCCCCTTTTTAAAATGCAGAAATAACTCCATTATCAATCTGCATTTACATTACTGCCCAAAAGAATGGGTCTGGAAAGACCATTTTCTGTACAGACGCTAGTTAATCTCTGTATGAAAAGACAGCATCTGGCATGGGAATAAACAAGGGAGATACTGGTCTATTAGCACACGTACTTTCTTAAGGCTGATCCAGTGAATGAACCTTTGGATCCAGAAGTATTTCTTCACTTCTTTTCTTTTCAGTTGAGTTCCTAGCAAAAACTTGGAAATTGAGCTGTTCTCATTTTGCATTTCTCCATTTATGGAGAGGATGGAATAATGACACCAAAAGTACTTTGGTTTTTTTTTTTTCTTTTAAAAATAATTTGCTTTCTTTTGCATGCCACAGGACAGATTTCTAGTTCAAAACAGGGTACATCAAGAACAAAAATATCCCCCCTCCCCAACCATCTTTATTTTCACCATTACAAGAAATCCTTCTGGAAACACAAGCAAGTCACTAAACAGTATCGAACCACTGACTCTACAAGTTAATACATAATCTGTTATGGCAGAATAACCAAGAATTTTCCCCCAAAGAAAGATTTTAATTTTCCAAATATAAAAGAGTCTAAGAGGATCATATGTGAACAAAAACCTCTTATTCCAAGTTTTACGGTAAAATGGATAACACACTGGCAGCTGAAGAAAGCTGAAACTCTTACTAATAAATAGATCCAAATTAAGAATTTCTACAACATTTCTTTAGAAAACAGAACCAGAATTCCTTTTTTTAAAATGATGATCCTATGGAATGCCTTCACTTCCATATTTACCTAATATTATAACAGTAAAACAGACACAAGAATGTTGATGACAGCTCAACGATGCTGGATGCAGGACGTTTACAGATACACTTTTGTTTAAAAGTCCTACAGGTTTATTGACTAAGGCTAGAGAGCAATTCATATGATCCTATTTGGTGCATTTTCTACCATGGTCCAAGATCATTATATGGATACAGCCAAGGACTGGGCCCCAACTTTCAGGAAAAAGACCACAAAGAAGAAAATCAGGATGGTTATTTGGTCCCCCCAGTTGATAATCTGAGTCCTGGAACTGGAAAAACAAAAGGTGGAAAATATAGACTGCAACAAGTGGAAGGACTTGGAAAAAGTTGGTGGAGAGTAGCACAGTATACGAGTAAGGTCACTGGGCTTGGGATGGCAAGGGCGTTGCATTGAAAGAGCATCCACGGGACCAAGTACTTATAATGTCTTGTGGTGTCATTCCCTCAACGACTTTAGAATATCTGTATGCGATAATAAATAGATCAGTTATGTAATAAGGCAGTGTGTTGAATATGCATTCGTCCTGTGGAATGAATCACCACAGAAAGAGACGTGATACCAGACACATTCTTTAAGTTTTCTTGTGTTGTGTTTGATTTGTTTGTTTTCAAGGCTATCCAGGCTAACTCTTCCCGGGGATTTCCTTGGAGAGAAGAGTGGTCCACTGAGGCTGGTTTGCTTAACCTCTCCTTGATCAAGAGATGATGACTGGCTTTAAAGAAAAATAAAGCTGAAGGTTGTTTGATTTTTATTTTTTCCCTTTTGGTTGCATCATTCTGAGTGTTTTCATATAAACAAACAAAAAAAATAATCACAACCAAAAAAAAAAAAAAAAAAACAATAGTTTCTGATGCATCCAGTTGTTGTATCCTCAGGATGTTCCAGATGTTTCCAGGTAACTCTGTAGTTTACGGACTGTAGTTTTGTCCAGGGAGCAAAGATCGAAATCAAATGTCGTGTTTGTGATATGAAAGTGTCCAGTTTCTTCTATAAGGTTCACGATCTAGAGGAGTAAAGAAGAGAAAATTTGGGCAATAAGCAATAGATATCAAAAGGCAAAGACAGAGAGAGATGGAGGGGGTCAAATATGGAACCAAGTGTTTCATATTCTCCTTTAGAGCAAGAAGGTCCCGTTACTATTAGTGTCACCAAATGATCTCTTAGCCAATTTGTTAAGCCAAAGGAATATTAACGCTTTGAAATACTCAGTGAGAGAAGATTACCTCTTCTCATCATTCATAGCTTTTAAAATGATTTCTGCTTTCAAGTTATCAACGGACTATTTTACTATAGGGGTAGGAGTGGGTGTGGGTGGTTAGGGGGAGACAGAATTTCAAGACCTCTTTAAAAATTAGTTACTGACTCAATGGACAGTATCTATACTTAATAGATATAAGGAAATTCCAGCCTAGAAATAACAAAACGCCTTATAAAAAAGTACACACACACACATATAATAATGACCATTTTTCTTTCTGATTATTGTTGAAAATTTAGCAAATATAAGGACCCCCAAAGAAAAAAATAGAAACCATCTACAATCCCACCCCCTGAAGATCATGGGTAGTGACTGGAAGAGGGCTCAAGGGAGGCTTCTGGGTGCTGGAGCTGTTTTGTTGCATGATTTGGGCACAACTTAACGAAAGATGCATTCACTTTTTAAAACTTCATCTAGCTGGACATTTTGTTATACTTCTACAAAAAAATGAATGAAAACCTATATTTATTACTTATAGTCAAGTTCAGTTGATAGCCTTGAGCATTTGGGGGTGATGAGTATTATCTAGAAAAAGAAAGGATGCCTTTGTCTCCCCGTTTGGAATAGTTACACCTCATTTCTTATTGTATTGGCTCCAATTTTCAGAAATATGATAAACAAAAGTGGTGACAGAGGTACTGTTGCCTTGCCCTGGCTTTGAGGAGGATGCTTCTAAGGTTTCAACATTAAGAATGATTTCAGTTATTGGTTTGAGAGAATCTTTTATCATGTTACGTGTCTTTCCATGCCTATTTTACTAATAATTTTATCAGAAATGGATGCTGTGCCTGGGTAGTGTGGGTTTTAGGTCTCTACATTGTGGGTAATCTGGGATGGAGGGGGGTTAATTTTAGTAAGCTTTGCGGAGGAGAGAGGAAAATTAACATCAGGGTGAAAGAAAAAAATATTTGTGTAGAGAAAACAATTGGCTAACTCTTCCATTTATTTTTAGTCTCTGTTACTCCTTTTCTATGACTTGCTTCCAACTCTCTTTAGTTCAATAATCTTTAAAAAGAGAATATTTTTATTTATGTAGCCTATTATTCATTCAGTGAAGTTTAGATTACCTAATTTCAGTCTGAAAACAGCAGAATGGACACTTTTGACGTTCTCTTCTTTCAATTAGTTTTCTTTAAAAAACAGTAAATTGGTGAACTATTTCCTACAGGTCAGCGGCACTCCGTAGAAAATGTGTTCCCCATTCCTGACATATTTGACTTCCACAGAAGCATAAAAGACATACTGAACCTCAACCCAATTAATTGCACAACTCCAGACTGAGCTGTTATTGCCTTATTCAACCTCCCGAACTATTTTTTACAGATATAACTATGTCTTTAATAATAAAACAAGTTACTCCCATTGTGAAACCATAACAGAAACAGCACACTGCCTACCTAATATCCACGTATCCCTTCTCTTTTACTAACAGAAGCTTGATTTGCTGAGAGTGGCAACATGCCAAGCTAAAACGCTTCCTCCCCAGATCTACCTGCAGCCCTGGGCAGATGCTGCTACTTACAATCTATCTGTCAGAGGTCACTGAGCTTTCAGGAAAATTTTTGAAAAGCTTCGGGTGCCTTTTGCCCTCTGCCCCTCTCCCTGTCTGGAATGAAGATGCAATCCTGGGAGTGCAGCAGCTCTCTCCTCTCCAGAGGATGAATGCAAGATGTGAAAGATGGCAGAGCAGGAAGGCAAGGAGTCCATGTCCTCAGTGGCATCCTTTAAGCCACGCATTGACCATGAATTACTTACCTCCAGGCCAATTATTATACGGCAGGGTGGAGAGGGAGCCTTATTTGCTTAAACCACTAGACCCAGGGTTCTATTACATGCTTCAAGAGATTATTAGAAGGGGTGTTCCCAATTGTGGTTAAAGTACTACATTCACATTAGAATTTATCAAGCACGATCTTATCATTAAGACTATAAGATCTAAAATGGACATTCATTTGTTTTATTAGTTAATAATTATAGAGCTTTGGATAAGTCACTCACACATATCTACATACACAGAGACACACACAGCTATGTCCCACACACAGACCTTTCAAGGCAATCAAATACTTACTACACATTTAACATCAATTGAATTAAGAGTACTTTCCAGAGTAAGTAATCTTTTTTGCCACATTGTGTAGAAATACTGTAGACCTAGTGAAAATGTGTAAACCTCAGGATAGAAACCAATAGCCTGGTCAGAGAGCTCTTTCAGGATAGAAACAAACAAGCTTTCAATTTATACAATAGAGGCAAATGACCATTATTCCACAGTGTGACTCCTCTCCCCAACTAGCTGGCCAGTAGGTAAGTGATAAAGCATTCAGAATAGAGTCTTCACTTTGGCATATCGATTTCTAACTCTGTTCACTATTTGAATGGCACTGGACAGAACATTATAACCTCTGAGCCTCAGTTTCCTCATCGGTAAAATGGGGATCATGCCACCTGCTCTAACTATCACACAGGGTTGTGCAGAGGATGAAATAAAATACGGTAAATGAAGCTTCTTTATCAACTGTCAGTTGCTACACAGATCAGAGCAACGCGATTATGATTACCATATAAATGTAAACCTATCCTTAATTATCTGGGAGGTAACTATACAGCACATGAATTATCAGACCCAGCACTTTCTCCTCCTCCCTTCATTGACTGTTAGCATTTCATTAGCACTAAAACAAATGAAGCAGGGAAAACGCCAGAAGCTAAAACTCAGAAAAGGCCTACTTTAATTTTTTAAAAAATAACAATAATAAAAGTTTTCAGGGGGAAGGGAAGAAAGGGAGGAGAACAGTAGGTGAAGGGAAGTCGTTGAAATGACAAACTAAAACCACAATGTGGGGGTAAAAGTACAGGCTTACATTTTCCCTTTAAAATGACAGGGAACTCACCCTCTTAAGAAAATAGCTTTCCCTGACTCGATACAGCTGCTCACTAATTACTTAACAATAAGTAGAAAACAGAGCAATAAAAATACCTTCTAGAAAAAGCCACTTGATTTTAAAGCAAAAAAGACACACTTGCCCACTAGGAAATTCGGTCCCCTCATCTCACATGCCTTGTAATACCTTGTAGGTTCATTCACGGTCTCGTACTTGCTCCACGACGAGCACGCCCACCCCGCCTGCAGCCACACACACACACAAAGAAACGAAGGGGATCTGATCAATCTAAGTAAATGAGCCCCGCATTTTTATGGGAGCTCATGAGAATGCATGGAGGTAGATGCAGACAGCCTGAAAGTAGCAGTAGCGGGAGCAGTTGGGATGTTCGGGACTATTTGCCAAAGAGAACAGCATTATGATTTGAATTATTAGAGCATGTACCCACATCCTCAATTAAGTCAAGACTTAGTAAGGAAAAATAAACGTGCGTTCCGTTCCAGGAATCCTGATGGTTGGAACATCAGAAACACTGCGTTACATGCTTTATTCCAATGTCACAAGCTACAAAGCCTGAAAACACCCCACTGGTCCCTGAAGGACGCCACTCCACCTTTCTACAGGAATCCCCGGCTCTGCTGATGCCATGTGGCTCTACCTCCGTGTCGTTACCCTGCATCACACTGCAGTAAGGAATGCCCCTCCAAAATAATCATCAAGATAGAGTGGCCGCAGGTAAGGAAAGCAGGCAAGGGAGCAGGTATGTACGGTAATGGCAAAGGAAGAGCATGTAAACTGCTTAACTCGTTCTTCAGATGATGGCTGTTGTGAAAACATTTGTGATGGATTATTTCCTGCCACGCCAGCCTTTCAGGGGGTACTACACAGGAGATTTGGTTTTTATTTTTAAACAGCTAAAATCCACTTGTTAAATCTGTGGTTCCTTCCCCCAACCGTGGTTTTTAATTATAAAAAGGTAGATGCATTATTTTTAGTCTGATTATATTTTTTAAAAACCAAGGTTCTTTCCACCGGAAGCAGCCTCTTCACTGAGTGGGTAGTAATGGACAAGCTTTGCTATAACTGCTTCTGCCTGGAGCAGAGTCAGGTCTGGGCTAAGTTGGGTCTTTCCATAGAATGGCCTCGGCTATGGACAGGGAAGCACTGTCTACCACATGACAATGTGTGTGCCCAGCCCTGGGTTAAGAGGCAGGCCATCAGGCTCCAACCTGCAAGGGATTCTAAAACACGGCAGGCAGTCTCCCAGGACGGAGAAAATCATTCTCAGGAGAACACTTCTCAGCAGGGTTCTCCACGTTGTTAGAAGGAATACTCTGATACACCACTCACTCCCCATCTTCCTGAAGATAATTCTGAAAGTAAAAGAGCTGTTATCTTAATTGCTAAACTGTCTTCTAAGGAAGCCCTGGTTTTCCTCAGAGCTTTTTTTCCTTTCTAAGTAGGATGCAAATCCAGACTCAGAGCTGAATTTCTGGGGAGTTTAGAAGTGCTCAATCTCCTTTTCCAAATAAATGTGGAACACTTGGTTTAAAGAAGAATCAAATCATTAGCCAGTCCTAGGCACTGGCACATCTCTGAGTTTGACTGGGTCTACTGTACTGTATTTTTACCTTATGGAAAAGTGGGTTAAGAATACATGCTCTCTTGTTCCAGTGCTTTCTGTTCATTAAACTAGATGCTGGGTGCCGGCACTGCATGTCCCCAGAGTAAAACAAAGATATTAACCACTTTTTGTGAGCCAAATAAAACTGTCAGACCAGATTTTTTGATAGGATGCATTTAACAGGAAAAGACCTAGGATGTGATCCTGGGCTCACCAGAAATTCTGTCTCAGGTGTTTAGGTCCGCATGGTGGAGAATACATAGACTTTGAGGAATGCATTCCACAACATGAGCAGCCCTCAAGGTGGAAAATAACATTAGTCCCCAATAGCGCGATGTTTTACAATAGGAATTAATTAAGCAGTAAACCGTGGCAGGACACGCATCACGGTATCATAATCACAAGCCTCAGCTGCACTACAAGGCAAAAGGCCAAAGAGTGAGAGCTTTCAACTGGCCTGGGAATGCAATTAGAGGGAAGCGCTGTGCGCCCTAGAGTGCCTTTATGCCAGGTTAAAAATCCATAGCTATCACTCTCTCCCTCTAGAGCACTAAAATAATCCACTTCGATGAAATTCTCGAGGAAGCCCGCTTCCCTCACAATTCTTTCACAGGTCAAAATAAAGGACAATGTGAAATTGGGGATGCCAATGACACCCCAAGGTAAGACCCTGCCCAACGGCCCGGGCTCCTCGACTCACTGGCTAGGCTTTCTTTGTGAAGGTGTCCCAATTCTGCCCAAACATCTGTCTCATTGTCCCGCGAGACTCACTGTGCCAGCCCAGCTTACGCGTTAACAGCTTTATTCGACAACTGCTCCACAGTGCTTCAGAGCTGGTGTTCGGGAAGGGCTGAGAAAATCAGCTAACAGACTTACCATCACCATTCAGTCAACTAGCCCCAAATAATTGTTAAACGGCAGGCTGAACAATTTTCAATTCTACAGAAGAAAGCTGAAGAAAAACACTACCAAAGTACTAGAATATATCTCAGGGTAAACCACGCAGATCCAGTTCCCCGACCCATTCCTCACTTAAATGGAAATGCAAGCAATGCAACTTATCTTCAATTAAGAATCATAGGTCTGTAGTCTTGTGCTCAAATCTGAAACTCTAGACAGGCTAAAAAGCTTATCAGACCAGAGAACTTGGCAAGTTTGAGAGTATGTATTTATAGATTTAAGCAAAAATGTATACAGAATATAAATGTGACCATCAGCCATTAAACATTAAAAAAAATAACCCACATACAGCTGGGGTAGATTAAGTACTAACTTCAAGTCATTTAAGAGTATTTAAAAAAAAATTCAAACAGTGAAATAATCTACAAACGCACCCTGGAATTTAGAACACAACCTTCTCTTTGGATGTTAAAGAAAAATTACTTTCTCAATAGCCACTGTTAACGCAATGGACGCCCACCCGCACTGTAACGGTATGAAAACTAAAAACCACCCTTCTTATCTTCTCAAAACATCAAATTGTACTAATAGAAGTTTCCCACTCTACAAGTATTCCACAGTTGAGTTCATAATAATAGAATGTATGTTATACCAGATAAGAGAAATGAGGAAAATATTTATTTTCCTTAGAATAGCACTGGCAAAAGGTTACTAAATTGAATCACAAATGTTTACAACACTTGACTGAAATTCTTATCACTGTTTTCCCATGAAACCAGAAGCCTGGCCCCAAAGGCTTCTGCATTCCTACTATCCCCTCCCTCAGCCCACATTACGGCATCAGCTGGCCATGGAACCGCTATATTCCAGCATCATCACCTCCACAAGTGCCCACTTTTCATCGTCTGCAGCACCAGGGGAGGGAGATAATCTCGGCAAAGCTCCAAAGCAGACTGCTGGGTAGCCTCGGAAATGAGCACCCTCCCCAAATACTTCTGCAGGTGGCATTAGCCTAGTCCTGACAATGTGAGGCTGGTGTGGTCTCCAGGTGTTATCACACTACCCCAGGACACACTGGGCCTTGAGACTTCTGGAAAGGGTTGATGGTTGTGCTAAAAAGCATTTCTCACCTGCTGCAGAATGTGCCTTTCCCTCAGTGTCATTAACCTTCTGTGAAGCTCTACCAGTTCATCTAGGTATGCCTGAAAGAGAGGAGGACCCCCCAAAAGAAGAAGCACTTTAGGATGTAGTTCAAAAATAAAAGAATAAATACATAGGAACATACAAGCAGCGGTTGGAGGTTCCCCATTCTACCGCCCTACCCCAGGCTGCGTGGACTCCGTGCCCAAGGCTTCTGTAGAGCAAGTCTCTCTTGGCCGAGTATTACCACTATAAAGCCAGCTTTTTAAAAAAGGGCAATTCTTGTACTTATTTGCTCTCAACAAGATTCAAGAGAGCAGACTCACCCTCTCCCAACAATGCCTCCACAGAGAGAAGGGATACTCAATGGTAAATTATGAGTTTAAACATGTTATCACAAGCTACTTTCATTTTTTTTTATTCTTCCATTTTAGAAGCTTTTTAACCAAGAGAAAAAAATTCTAAGTTTGAACATGGAGGTAGCAATGCACATTGCCAAGTATGTCAGGACAAATTCTTAAAGAAAAAAAGGACTTTCTGGCCATACCTAACATTGCTAGTAAACAACAAGTGATGGAACAGAAGAATGTCTTAGGAAAAATAGAGATCACTATCCAAATTAACACCCAGTTTGTCAAGAGCTCCCCTGCAAGGGCAGAGGTGCACCTCTCTCTCCACATGCTCACACCATGAGTCTTTGTTAGCATAACTGCATGGGTGTTCTAGCACCATTTGCAGTGAAGGCAAAGGAAAGGTTCGTGAAGCATTAGCCAGGTCTGCCCTGGTCCTGCAAACCACATTAGGATCCTGCCCACAACAGGAGACTAACCCCCAACAGGTCTTAAAGTCATATTTCAGATGCACGATGCACACTTGGGGAAAGCCCACTGCTCCAGGGTCAGATGTTCTGCTCACTGACCCTTCTACCTCCATCACGATTTTCTTACCTCCCAATTCAACTTGCCTGAAATCCCTTGGCAATGTAGGCATCATGGGAAATGGTAGCATGAGACCAAGCTTAACAATGAAAATATAAGCAAGAGTTGGAAAATAAACTACAAAGCACAGGGAAGAAAAAGTGCTGGTCATCTGGGGGTCTCACGCACTTCTGATGAAGGAATGAAAGGAGAACCCGCGAGGATGATCAAGGAAAACACCAAGAAACAAAAGACGCGTCGGTGCTGCAGCACTTGTAGTAATGGGCTGGAAACCTACCTTGTCACAGTCACCATTCTTTATTTGCTTATCTGATTTGCTTTGCTTTATTGGACTTTTCACTTCAAGAATCTAGGGATCAAAGAGAACACGGTTAAATTTGATTTAAGCCCTTCTTAGCCAACCAGCCACCTAACAAAGGCACATACGAATGAAACGTCATACAATCACATGACTTTCCAAATAACGTTTCTCCTCTACACATTTTCTTTCTTCTCTTCTAATCTTACTTTTTCTTGGAAAATAAATTACATATATCTGAAATGCTGAGTCAGGGCAAGAGAACGTAAAAAAAAAAAAAAAGTTGATGATAAGGAAATTGATCTAAGCTTCCAAGGCTGCTTCTCTTCTGTGACAACACTCTCACACATATGTACAGCAGCTGAGTTATACTGGATTATAGGCCCCTCTGGCAAGAATTTTTTCCTATTCATTCTGCTGTTTCAGCATGACTTCCAGTGCTCGAGACACTAGGGGTGAGAGAACAAACACTCAAACGCCCTTTGTAGTACCTGACTTTCAGATTCTAAAAATGACTCAGATCTACCAAATTGATGCAGCTTTGGAAGTGAAGACGGCCACCAGTTACACTGGTTGCTCCCAATTTGGGATCCTCCAACTCAAGAAATAAAGAGCCAGGATTATCTTCTGCGTTTCAAGAAATGATGTGTTTATCCATTATAAAACACCAGTGTCTTTCCTTCCCTAAACTGAACCAATTACAGCTCAGGTTATGAACGGTGGTTTTGCACACTGTTCAGAAGCTTCCACGGGGAGCTAGGTTTCTAATTCATAAAAAGGAGAAACAAATTATTATGTAATAAATCCAGTTGATTTATTAGAATCTTCAAAATTGAGGATTATGAGGGAAATATTTTTAAATGGCCCTTGCTTAAAATAGCTGAGAACCACTAAATTTATTGATGAGTGTTTACAAATGTATATAAACATAAAAAGCAACGTTATTTGTCTGTTTCATGATAATCTCATTACCAAGTGAGTTATTATAATCTGAAGCTAATATTAAGGAGGAAAATGCCAAATAAAGGACATATTTCAGAAGGCTCATATTCCTACTGCTCTTTTCATTATTCATTCTCTGCTCTGCCACACACACACAAATCACAGTTCTATTCAAAAGTCTACCATATTCCATAACACAAAGAAGATTTTAAAAATGAGTCCACTTTTAATTTGTAGTAGAAAGACCCTTGATTGGGCTCAGAAACCTAAGTTCAGGTCCTCGCCCTATCATTTAACATTTTTGGGTCTCAAAAAATGAGAGGAAATGAGAGAGATGAACAAGACAGTGTCCAGATTCCTGTTCAGCTGTAAAATTTTATACTACTAATAAACATTTTACTTGTTGAGGATAGGACTGTGACATGCTAGAAAAGATCAAATACTCCTAAAATGGTATATTTTCCTTTGAATTTAGAATAATGTACGAGTAAAAGAAGGGAGCTTCTAACAGTCTTTCCTGAGAATCGCCTTAATTTCTTTATTTTTAACATTAAGATAACCAGATGACCAATTTGACCAGGCTAACTTAAAATACAATACTTTTGGCAACACAAGGAAATTACTTAATTGCAGAGGCAAGACAATCGTTTTTAACATGCTCCATGGTAAAGGAAACCAAACACTCCACTACATTCAGAATTTCCTTCTCTCTATTGTTGTTGGAAATGAGACCTCAGGGGAGCTCAGAGACCTAGTAGTAAGTAGGTCAGTAGATGGCACTCCTCGCCAACTCAGATACGGGCTGGGCAAAGCAGAGACAATTTGCTGAGATTTCAGGCGAAAGAAAAAAACAGCGCGTGCCTGCTTGCTTTGCGCCTTAGGAAACTGAATTTTGTTCCCATCATATCTCACCCTGCCCCCCCATTCCATCCCCCAAGTCATTGCGCTAGGGGGTCAAAGCGACTGAGAACTCTCTATTTGCAATGGAACTTTGCTCACTAGGTTTAGAGAGTTCTACCACCTTCAAAGCAGAAAATAGAACATTCGGGGCACTTAAGTCCCACCCTACACATTCCGTAAGCGCTACAGCACAGAAAGCCAAGCTACATTGAAATCCTAGTTTCTTTCTTCTGAAGCAGCAGTGGCAGGAACAAAAGCTCTTGGTGTCAGTGATCCGCCTCAAGTTACTGAGTGGCTGCCCAGAGAGGCCTCAGTTAATCTTCCTTCTTTGATCTCTCCCTGCTCCAAAATAAACAGCTTTGTCAAAACCTCATTCTGAGAGAGCTGAGCTATGCTGAAGACAATTGTTTTATTTATGATCATTTCTTATCTTTAAGGAAACGACTCCAGAATATAAAAGTCCAGCACCTTGTCTTCCACAGGCTTATTTCAAACCAGTTTAACTGGATAGACTCTTTAATTTTATTCAACATGCTTTGCAGGCTGATAGGTGATTTATAATATTCTGAATATTAACTTGGATCCAATAGATCACTTTCTTCCGGGCCCCTCCCCCGTCCCACCCCATACTTTCAGCCAAAGAGGAATTGGAATTTTGATTTTGTTTGAAATTCACATAAGAGAGATTTGGAGTTAAAAAAAAAACATCACTGGTTAAAATGGCACAGCACTATTATTCCCTATTAAGCTCGGAGAGAAACAGCCACCCAGACCGCCAAGAGGCACTGTTTATACACACGGTCGTCTCTGAAAATAGAACTGTGATTAGTTGCACTTCTATCCTTAATCTGAGGATATGGCTTGAGAATCAAATTTTCAAGATTATTATTTTTCTGTATCCCTTAGTGAGGACTGACAACTCAAGTATTCAGCAGATGGATTCTCTACTGATAGGTCTTTCATGTTAATGATCACTACTAGCTTCTAACGATACTCAGGTTAATTACTTGCTTTGTTGATATGTGGCACTCCCTCTGTTCACTTTTTTCCAATACTTAGGAAATGTTTGACTCAATTAGCACTTTCTATCTTCCCTACTCCCTGGAAGATTTGAGAAGAGGTAAGAAAAACTCACCTTTGCCTGGTAATTTACAGAAACTTGAGAGATCATTATCAACTTGCGGAAAGAGAGCAGCCAAGGAGTATGGAAGAAGGAAACACAGGGTCTTCCCTCCCATTTCACAGTGAAGCCCTCCCAGGATGTTTTCATCTACTTTATTTGATGCGAAATTTCAGATTATCACACACACATTCAAATATAAGACTAAAAACACATTCCAGAGTGAAATTTAAGTGACTTTTATATTTTTAAGAAATTTTTACTATTTCACTTCATCGGCATGGAAAACAAAGGAAGACAGGTAATTTTTTAAGAAGTCTTAGAACGCTGATTGAAACGGACAGCATCACACTTGATCCAATGCAGGTGATGTGAGGGGTTAAGAAATCAATAAACAAAGTTTTAAAAACCCTTTCTTGCTCTCTCAGTTCCAAGACACAGCTCCAAGGAGGTAGGCACTCTTGTGGCACATGCATTTCCTACCCTAGACTAGCTAAAAGTGAAAGCATATGGACTTTCTTATTATGCTTATAGGTGCATGGAGAAAGTGACATATAACTGAGTATTCCTGACAGATTGATGATTCACATGTGTGAAGCTACATTTGTCGAATAAACATGCCAAGGAACCGGTGGTATGCTATTTAATCGGATAAAGTAATTTTTACCCTCTCCAGATAGATGATATTATTCATTTTTGTTGTTTTGCTAGACAGGTGTAAAAAAAAAAGTCTGACAAAGAATCCAAACCTTTCCCTGAAGCCAGGGTCAGCTCCAGACTGCCAATCGAGGAAGAGTTTAGGGGTAGCTATTAGGTTTGAAGGGTACAAAAGGGGGCTTGTTGGAGCTGCATTTATTTAGCAAGCACAGTCTTAACGCTGACTGGAAAGATGCTGAAGGAGCTTAATGAGAGGCACAAAGCACACCCTAAAAGCCCTTCACTTCTGGCACTACCCCAGCCGTCACCCATGAAGTATCCTAATTCTAACACACCACCCACTGGAAGCAGAAATCCGGCCTAAATATATTTAAATCAGATATAAAAATATATTCAAGGTCCAAATTCTATTCTTTTGCCAGTTCATACTGAAGCACAAATTTACAAAAGAATCCTGAGTTATCCAGCTAGCCAGCCCAGGGCTCTTCTCAACTGACTGGTGATGATGGTTATGCGCTTAGTTGTCACTTTCCCCTGAAATGCTTGACTTGCAGTGTTGGTGAAAGCTGGCTGGGCCATGGGCATGGCTGGCCCTGGAGCAGCGGCAACGCATGGGCCGCAGGGAGTCAGGATGAGGAAGAAGAACGCGCGCACTTCCTGAAGAGCTAGTCTGTAAGAGATGAGGCTGGGCTTGCCTCCATACCTGGACACCAAGAAACTGCAGCTGAACCGTAACTGGTGAGGTAAAGAACCCCGATATTATTCCTACTTAATAATGGAGGCTGTAAGTTGTAGATAAACCTTATAAATGAGGAATTTAAAATTTTAAGAGATCTTTGCTTATCTTCAGCTATCAAATCACATTTTCCCAGTAAAACAAAGATCACAAATTCAGCTATCAAATCTTCAGCTATCAAATCACACTTTCCCAGTAAAACAAAGATCACAAATTCAAGGACAAAACCAATCAAAATTGTAGGACACCTGTGCAACAGAATAATTTTGGAAAAATGCAGTTCTTTTCCTTTCAAGTTAATAATATTCATAGGGTAACTTGAATTAAGCAATTATTGTAGAGGTCACAGGGAATTCGTCTAAACAGAGATAAGAATAACTTACAGTAATGGGAGTATCAACTCAATGCACGATGAGGCTTTTACAATATTCATGATACTTGAAAATGGTTTATTTTAGTAAGCATTTAAAATACCCCAATCTTAATCATTTGTTTAACAAAAGCTCTTCATCACAGCTTTCGAAGTCCTGCCTAGATCTTATCCAAATAACTATATTCAGAGTTGACTTTCAAATTAATAAGACTTCCTTTAGCTCGATTTATAACAATGATAACGACCATTATTTACTCTGCATTTTATTAACTATTCTGCACAACCCCAAGTGATGATGTTCTTTTCCTGGATGAGCACAGAGGCAGAGCACCTATAATAATAAACATCTACCATCAACTGAGTGCCAAGCGGGTGTGGACACTGCTTCATGCCCTTTACATATATCGTCATCCTCCCAATAACCAGCAAGGTAGGCATTAATATCTCCATTTACAGATGAAGAAACTGAGGATCAGAAGTTAAAAGTTAATTTCCCACCTGTAAATTAGTAAAACAAAGAACGAGGCTTTATACTAGCTCCAAGGGTCATATTCTTTCTAATTCATTAAATCGCCTACTTACTGCTGAGGAGAAAAAGATATAGAAATCAGCAGTAAATGGGCAGCACTCTTTGTCACCATCCCTTCCTGCATCTATTTAATTAACCCATCTACTGGAACATACTTTTCATGACAACAGAAATTCTTTTATCCTAACTATTTGTTTATTCCTAAGGTTGTAGATTCCCATTTATTTGATATCAAGAGGGACTTTGTTTACCAGGAAGGGGTAGAAAGTTTTGTGTGCTTTGTAGAAATGATCACGTCTAGTTCTACAGCATCCTGAAAAGTGCAAACCCAGCAACTTACCTGGTTGTTGTTGGTTTTTAATAAGGGTGGCGGGGGTTCGTGGTGTAGGGGTGAAGAGGCAGAACTGCTTTCACTATCACTGCCATCACTTAAGCTAACTCTGAAAAGAAACAGAGGAGGGAATATGCATCATTACAGACAATTCTTGAAATATCCACGCAAATAGGTGCAAAGAGCAATTAATCCAAACAGTAATCATTGAAAACTTGCTTTCACTCATACAACAGCTAACGTGGATTGGCACTTACTTTGTTTCTGGAACTATGCTAAGTGTTTTACCTGCTGTGTCTCATTTAATGATCCCTGCATTACAGATGAGGAAACTGAGGCTTAGAGAGACTAGGTCACTCGCCTAGGGTCACAGAGGTGAAAGTGGTTGATTCTAGGATTCAGACCTAAGCAATGTGACCCAAAGCTGCTACGCAGCCTCGATCCTTCACTGGCTTCATTTATTCATTTAGTTCCCTGCTCCAGCTCTACCCACCCATTATCATCAAGCATCTCACCCAAACCTGCAGAAAGTCAGAAAAATTAGATAGTTTGTAGGTTCCTACCTTTTATTTTCCTTCCCCCCCTACCTCTTGGCTACCGGTGAAAAATTCACAAATATGGCTAAAATACAGGCTGCAGGAGTGGAAGCAACTGCCAAGGAGAATGTGGACAACAGCCCTGCATGACTGACAGGTCAGGGTGACATCTGAGGATGGGATGTAGGAAGCCCAACATGCAAGACCCACCACCAATCATTTCTACTGTGTAATGATTCAAGGCTGTCCCGAGTTCTGAACGCTGAAACAATGATTCCTTGGAAACATACTACAGCAACATGAAGAGACCGTGTGTTTTGGATAACTGCTTTAGATAAATACAATGCCAAGCCAGTCCTGATGGCCTAGTGGTTAAAGTTTGGTGTGCTCTGCTCAGGCGGCTTGGGTTTGGTTTCCGGGTGCAGACCACACCACTCGTCTGTCAGTAGCCATGCTGTGGCGGCAGCTCACACAGAAGAACTAGAAGGACTTACAACTAGAATATACAACTATGTACTGGGGCTTTGGGGGGGAGGAACAAAAAAGAGAAGACAACTGACAACAGATGTTAGCTCGGGGCAAATCTTTGGGAAAAAAAAAAAAAAGAAAAAGACAATGCTAGCAAGACAATAAAAATATCACCCCCTCCTCTATTTTTTTATTTTCAGAACAAAATGGAATTTTCTTTTAGCCAGAGTAGCAGATATTTCCTTCTTCTACTCTGCTGAATGTATGCCCTCCCTCAAAAATGTCCTTCAGCGTTTGCTCCCTCTCTCTGATTATATAGTAACCTAATATAATATTCTTCTCAGAAACAGAAAACACTTTAGAAATCAGGATAGTTTTTTTTCACTCTGAATAGGCAATCACATTCTGGCTCTATAATATATTCAGACAGACAAGATACAAGATAGGAAATGAAAAGGATACACTGGGACATCCTTTTAGCAAAAAAACTGATGGAACTTGTTTTCCTTAACTAAATTACATTAATGAAGTGTTCAGTTGAAGCGCTGCTTTAAAATGCTTCTTGACTGAAGTGGAAGGCTGAGTATTTAAACTGATTAAACAGTTGCGACTTCACAAGTGCCATGAAGATCAAATGTTACACTGGCGCTGCTGTGCTAACAGCACATGTCAGGCAGGGAAAAAGTAGAGCATCTCCAATAACGTGTATCATATCCGACAACTCACAATGGGAACAACCTGACCCACAGTGACTCAGGAGAAAGGGCAGTAAGCGGGTGGGCAACAGCTAATCACAGAATATATAGATCTTCTAAATAACAATAACTTGGGGAACTGTCTAAAAAGTCATGCCTTTTTCATCAGCTGTATTCAAGAGCAGCCAGTGTTCAGGATTTTGGTTGTTCCAAATATGCTCCTCACCTCCAAGCTTCAGTCCATTTTTAGGTCTTTTTGCCCTACTAGTTTCCTTCTTGTCAGATTAAAGACTTCTAAAGGGAAATGTTATAAGGCCAAAGTCATAAAGTTCCTTATTTTTTCCTATTTAAAAGGAATCCAGGCAGATGACCTTGAGAGACAAGGTGGAGAAAGAGGCACTGAGGATAGCCAGAAGGAAGAATCACTGAGAGATCTGATGGGGCATATACTCGACAGAGCTGCTTCTCAAAGGACACTAAGGAATTACCAAGTAGGAAACATATGGTCTGTCCAGTCTGGGTTAAGACTGCATTCTTTTTAGGAATTTTAGGGCCTTGTACACAGTAATGGATAATGGAAAAAGATTTAACGCAATATATTATAAATGTAATTGGATTTTAAGTTCAAGTAGATTCATATTTTTTCTACTCAAAACACATTAAAGTAAGCATGCCTATTTGTTTTCCTCATGATAAAGAAATAAAATCCTCAAGGCAATTTCAAGTTGACTATTAATTATAAGCGACATGAATTACCATCTTATAATGTGGAATTATGCCTCACAGCATTAAAGCTACTTAAGGAACCTAATTGTCAGCACACTTAAAAGGAATTTATTTGCTAGAAAACACACACAGGTGATCCCAGTTTTAATTAGGTCACACACATAATTCACTGAAGCCAATTACGAATTTCCAACTACAAACAGCAAGCGCGTTTCTTCAAATTCTGAGACTACCTACAGCAATGAATCTACACAAACTCTTCAAAGGAAAACAGACTTTATTTCAGCAGTCAGTCCTGCCATCTTGGCGTATCCTTTCAAGAACAAGGACTTCTAATATGACTTTTTTCCCTATAAAATTTTTAGAGGAAAAACCTCTCCTTTCTGAGAAAAGGGATAAATAGTTCCCTGTAGAGGTGAGTGTAAGCATGCCAAGGTGTCCCAACTTCAAATGAATGTGACCATTTACCGCCATTGTTTTTGGTGTTTCACACCTTTCTGTGGTTACACTAGTAGGTCAAGTGAAAAGATAGGATTCCATCAAAGGGAACCTCTTTCCTTACAAGACACTCACCTGCGACTTCGGCTGCCTCCTCTATTTACAGGTCTCTCCATTTCAGAGTCATTGTCATTATCCTCTGCCTCATCTGATTCCTCTTCATTGTCATCGGAATGCAGATCTTTCATTATAGACCTTAAAGGACCTGAGTAACGACAGTGAACCACAGGCAATCAAATATACGACTTCAAACACACCTAGCCACAGTAGACACGGGAACGCTCACCAGCACTGAACATCGGTGAAAAATAACCATCATCATATATGTTTATATAATTTACAAGACAATTTGGTAGTTTCTGGAACGCAACCTCTGCCAAACACTAGTGTTTTCATAGCAGATGCCTCAAAATGTTCATTAGAAAGTCTCTATTTCCTAGGAATCTTTTTTCTATTTATTTTTCTTCCCTAAGAAAAATTACACCTAAAAAGAAACAGAAAGATCTATTACTAAATTGAATGTTTTGTTAGGTTAATCCATGTATTGAAAAGTTGAGACTAATAAATCACCGTGGTTGTAACTCGTTCTTGGCAATGCAGCCTTTGTGTGGTACGTTTTGATCTATTAAGGTTTAGCTGTTCCTTTTATTTCAAGGTCAATTTCAGGTCAAGCAAGCATTTCAGTCAAGTTCAGATTATAAAGTATTTCAATTCCATGGTGTAATGTCCTATCTCTGATCTTCACATTGATTTTGAACACAAGGGCTTGTTGCAACAATTTTATGCAGCCAATTTTTATTTTACTTTTTTAGAAATTCCTGGCAAAATACCAACATGTATTTACATAAATAAGACCATGTAATAAATCAAGTGCCCAGAAGATTCAAGAGAGTATCCAGTATTAGATGGGAGAGAAAAAAAAAATCAAGTCATAAGTAATTTTATTCCAGAACAGGGCAGAACTGGAAAAAAAAACAACCCACAGAAAAAACTCATTAGTGTGGCTTATTTTCACTTTACTACTCTACATGTGATGAAAACAAAACAGACATTTTTAATCTTAACAGAAGAGATTGCAAAGGCAACCAAAGTGAGAGAAGCACCTTCATTCTGGATTAGGCAATTCCTAACGTCTATGATAGGAATATCTGAGCTATTACTAGCTCAGTTCTAAAATAAGTATTGATTCTGCAATCGCACATTCTGCAAAACCCAAGTTTCTCTCTTTTGTAGTGGGCTTATACCTTTGGAAGTCAGTGGAACAAGAAATCTGAATAGCCAAAATGATAGGTGTCTTTTATTTTTTCCTGGAAGCTTAGCCTTAGCCCAAACACACACAACAATTTAATCCTTTTCAAAACATACAAGGCCATGAGGAATTCAGTGTGGTCAATGAAAAAGGTAATGTGTAACATGATACTCAAAAACAAATTATTCCTTGATATTATCTCACTTTTGATGTTAAAGAAAAAAAAAGGAGCCCATACTTGAGGAGTCTCCACACTTAAAAAAAGTGGGAAATATATTTAGTTAATCTTCTGGTTTAAATTTCTTTAAATTTAAATTTGAGTTTGAGTAGAGAAAAAATATATTTTAAAGACAGAAAATTAACACTTGCCAAAGAAAAAGGTCTATTAAAGAAAAATAAATAAATAAAATGAAGCTGTCCAGGAGGGAGAGTAAAAACCTATTTCTCTATGTCAAAGCCTCACAAGTCCAGCTTTTGCTATTGTATTTCCTTTGGGAACTCCCTGGAATGGGCTGTGTCTATAATCCTTTTGTAAAATGGGACTCTGATGGCAGAGACTGGAAAAGGGGGAATTTCTAGAGGCCAGCCACATACATCAGAACAATACACCAGTGCATTCCTAGGGGAAATAAATACAACTGCATAAAAGCCAAGTTATCATTCAAACAATAAAACAGTAGAAAACAGGCCGTAAATCAACTCATTAGGATGTTTTACGAGAAAAACGTCTCATGGTTTGCCTGGGAGATGTTGATACCTTGTTGCCTGGTCTGGGACGGTGTGAAGCTGGAGCTGGAGCTGGAGCTGGAACTGGCAGGACTGGGTTGTTCAGACTTTAAAGAAGAAGGGAAAGGCATCATCAGTAAATGTACGGGACACTACATATCTAAAATTAAAAACAATGTTGTTGCTCAAAAACATTTTGCTCTGTGAAGACAGTCCGACTGCGTAAGAAAAATGACTATTTGTTGCATTATGTTAAAAACACGAACACAGGAGAGTCATAGTATCTTTTTTGTTTTGTCCATCATATTTTTATTAGATGCAGAAACAAGTATATGTAGTCAAGGATGAAGAGATAAACACCTGGGTACTACATGAGGGAAGAACCTGTCTTTGATTTCACTCCTGTTGACTGCTATCCAGATCTCTTTCTAAAAGATACTTGATGACCCTTTCTGCAATGTTTGATTGACTCAACTAGTTAAAACATAGTGGTAATGAGGCCAAGGTCATTAGTTCAATCACATTATGAGCCAGTTAATTTCACTCTGGTCCAAGGCCATGACCCAACCCTAACCCCATTCATCCACAGTTCACAAATGGAGGCCAATGTTCACAAGGAGACCTGGCCAAGTCCCACAGATGAGTCAGGGGAAAACGTTGCCACTACTTCAAAAAAAAAACCAAACACCCTTTAATTCCACAGCCTGTTGATGCAGAGAAAGCACATCATACACACACCCCACTCTCTCAGTGAATTCTCCTCATTCTTTAATACGCAGAACAAGTTCCACATCCTCCTTGACCCCCCCCAACTCACAGTTCTCTTTCCTCTCCAACTACACTGAAAATATGGATCATCTGTTTGCTTATCAGATATGCTGTGGTATTAGGCTACCTCTGATGTGTGTATCTTTTCTCTCCAGCAGACTGCCAGCACTTGAAAAAGCAGGGATTGGGCAGGGGAGGTCTTGTGCTTCTTGTTATATCCCTTTGTACTTAGCATTATGCATTGCATACAGCAGGCACTCCATATCTGTGACTGAAGGCAGCACATTAGGCCCTCTGTTCCACCGTCTGCCAGTTTTTATGAGACTTGATAGGAGATAGAGATGGGAAGAGCAAATACATGGACAGAATTGTGCAAAGAAATTGATCATACCATCAGCACACTTGAATTTTACATAGTTAAGGCCAAATTTATTTTAGAATAACTTAAAAATGTTGACAAATTTGGTTGTAAGAGTAGATTATTTCTATTCCATTTCTAATATGCTCACAGTCTCAACTACATACTTATCATTAGAGAAATATTTGAGGTCTTCCCACGTACAGGACACATCTTTCTACTTTGCTCAATGGGTGACCAAGTCTATCAGGGCCACATGGATGACAAACTAAGAGCACAATCAGAAGCTGCTAAATGAGGATGAGAATCTCAGTTCAGCTTATATTGCAGTTTCTCACCACTGATTTTTCATCTCCCCTCCCAGCACTGAACTCCCACCCCCTCCTCTCCCAGGCAACACCAAGCTCCACAGACTCCGACACAAGGAAGCACTTTGAGGCATTCCTAACGCACACTTCACATCCCCAGGCTGGATGGGAAAACAGGTGTCAGCAATCTACTACTCATTCTGTAGGAAAAGAGCCAGACAGGATCTCTAATGAGCAGCAGGCGGCCCACCAACCCTTCACCACTGCAAGATTTACTTGAGATTTGCAGTACAATGTCCTACACATTGCTGTTTGTGGCCCACAAAGAAGAGCTGGTTTACAAGTACAAATGCCTGGGTGAGGCACTCTTCATGTTTGTTGAGTGGCTCTTCCACTGTCAAGCCACATGGTGAGTTACACAACTGAAAGGGCCTTCAGTTAGCATTTATGTGCAATGCCCAGCTGTAAAACCTCTCTCCCGGGGTCCGCAGAGTACTCCTTTTCCTCTCCAAGTTGCTCTTTTCAGCCATGAAAAGCGTCTGCAAACGGTATTATTTTGATAGCTCTGGAAACCATTTGTGAGCCAAAAAAGAGGTTTCCTTACAGTGAGCGGAGAGGGCTCTAATTCCCCTTCCTGCCTGACCAGTACCTGTTGCACTGGACGTAAAGGAGCCATTCCGCCTGTGCTATCTGCTGAGAATGACATTAATTAGGATAGCAAGAGAGGATGGTGGCCATCTCTCCAACTACCCCATGCTAAACTTGACCCATGTGTCTCAAGCATCATGCCAATGCCAGAACCAAACCTGCAGGCAGCTTTCTTTTAGCTTTTTAACCATAAACAAGGTTAATAATTCCACAGTTGCTAACCATTAGAAAATTGACAAAGAGTAAAGAACATAATACAACAGGAGAAAAAGGCTTTTTATTTGACATTTATCATTAACACCCTGCCTCATTCACAAAGTATTTGAGGAGGTTTATAACAGAAGACACATTAATTCAATGAGAATATTAAAATAGAAAGTTTAAAGCAAGGGAGGTGGGTGGAGAAGGATAAAATGTTGAATGAAGGGCAGCAAATTCCAATGAACTGGAAGCTTTTCCCAAGACTTTCATGGGCATTAGAATCACCTGGAGGACTTGTTAAAACACAGACTGCTGGGCACCACACAGAGTTTCTGATTCGATAAGTCTGGGATAGGGAGGAGAACCTGGATTTCTTACAAGTTCCCAGGTGATGCTGATGCTGCTGTTCTCAAGACCAACCAGACTTTTGCACCACTGATCAAGCACCCAGAAATTCATAGCCATGGATATTCATCAAAATCAGTTGGGGGCGGGGCGAGATTCTATACATGAGGAGATTCTGATTGAATAGGTTTGGTGTGGGGTCCCGGTATGTTTACATTTTCAAAGCTCAACAAATGATATCAATGAAAATTTCAGGTTGAACACCACTGATACTAGGTTAATCACTTTTTTTCTAAATGCAAAAAACCATGTTTTTGAAAGAATCTTTAAGAAAGCATAAAAGGAAAAAAAATCATGAAAAAAATTAGAAACTTAGAGATCTATCCAGAGGTAGCACCCCTGAAGACTCTTCAAAGTGTTTTTCAAGAAAGCATCCTAACAGAACACGTTTACCACTCTAAAACTCATTTATGAAGTATGTACAATCATGTTGTGGTGGATGGACCTTAAACTAACCTAAGCTGGCCAGGACAGAATTCAACTAAAGGTTAACTGCTCAAAAAGCCATTCCGACACTAGACGAGGCTGACACAGTCTTACATTTTATCAAGTCTAACAAAACAGAGCTGTAGCTCACTTTAAGTGAAGTCTGCATTTTATTGTTTTAAAAACTCAGATTTACCCTCTAAAAAAATCGAAGATGATTATATAAACTAGGAAAGGTTATTTGCTTTACAAAAAATATTCACCATAAACAGGGCTAGATTAAGATTTTTATAGGCCCTAAGGATTGAAAAGATTATAGTATCCTCCTCTCCCCTACCTATGTATGTATGTACCAAAACCTAGGGGTAGGGAACTTCAGTGAGGTTCTGATTTTTCCCCTTACTGAATGATTTGACACTTGTTTTTGAAACACCAAAATTCTCCCCACTAAGGAAATTTTTTTGCTTCTTCTTGCTAATGCCCTGAGCACATGCTTAGCTGACCTACTGAGTAATCAAACAGTAGACATAAAGTTTCTTTAAATGGCATGCTGCTCAGTGACAGAAGTATAGTATAGGCTTCAGAATCTCAAATTCTATTGCTTGCTAGTATATGTTTTGGGGAAGATTTGCTTAAGCATTAGTTTCCTCATAGAGTGAGGGCACTGAATCTCACGTAGAAGTGATAATGTTAAATTGATATAATAAAGTAAAAACTCCCAGCTCACTGCTGTTATAATGGTAGCTAATCAACATTTGGTTGCTACTATTTTTTTTACAACAGATCACAAACTCCTCTATTGCCTGAAACAAGATATATCTTTACTATCAAAACAACGGGCCTACCAAGATTTGCAACGCAATCTTCCACATTAAATGGCTATGCAAAATTATCTTGTAATGGATTTTCTATGGAGGATTATTTTTGTCCAAGACAAGAAAAACCACATGTTTACAACTCCTAGAAGTTAAGTGCTTCAAAAGACAACACCTGTCAAGGTAGGTCACACGAGACAGCTTGTAAAATCTGGCATTGTTCCTTATACTGGGAGCAGACTTCCTCCTCAGGTAATCAGAATACAGAAGTACTTCCATTTTTTCTAATGGGCAACTATATTTATGAACAGCATTCCAACTTGATCTTTAAAACCATCAAAACAAAGAAAAAGGGGGAGAATAATACACACCTTTCTTCAGGGGAGAGAATACAGTAGAACTGGTGAAAGAGAAATTATTTTAGACACATTGCTATGTTTTTTCACAAAATTTCTACCTCGTTTAGAAAATGAAAAAATATAGATTACAATAAAGATTACCTTTTCTTTGCACAAATATCCTGAAGGACTGTGTCAAGGATGAGTACTAATCAAAGAAGAAAACACAAATGTAGTATACTTTATTTACTTCCCTGCTCAATTTTCATGACTGACTGAGGTACTAGGTTCTTGTCAGTTTAGTCCTTCCTTCATTAAAAAATAATCATCATCCCACACTTTTTTTTTTACTTAGCATAAAAAAGCATTTAAAGACTACCTCATTTACAATGGATATTAACTAAACTTATTGTGGCAATCATTTCACAATATATACATATATCAAATCATTATGTTGTACACCTTAAACGATGTTATATGTCAATTATATCTCAATAAAACTGGAAAAAAGATTACCTCATTTATTTTCTGTTCTATAAGAAACCAAAGATAATCCAACTCAACTTTCCAATATACATTTAACTTTAAAGAAAAATGACATATAACATCCATTCTAAACAACTGTGGAAAATGTTCTTCATCATGGAAATGCACTCTATCTTAAGAAACCCCATTAATAGGTAATATATTGTAATAGCTATATCAAAAAAGGTAAGGTCAAAGTTAGGCAAAGAAACAAGTAGTGAAAAGTTATAAAATAACACAGGTTAAATTAATCTAACAAGATTAACGCAAGAGTGAATTGTCAAAAGGCTAGAAA